TAAGCAGCCAAAGCCTACAGTCCCCACTTTCACGGCACCTCTTAAGACCCACTGGGCTTGGAATTCCAGCCACTGGTAGCAGCACTGTACCTCTCTAAGGAGGAGCTCCTAGGGGAGGGACAGGCCACTATCTATGCTGTTTGGGCACGTTAGCCATTCCAGCCTCCAGGCTTTGGAGAGTTCGAGATGACTGGAGGTGGAAAGGATCCCCCAGCACACATACAACTGCTCTACCAAAATGTAGCTAGATTGTTACTGTAAGTAGGTACCTGATCTTGTTCTTCCTTTGGGTAGGACCTCCCAAATGGGGACTCTAGCCATCCCTGCCTGTGTTCTCCAGCACAGATTTGAATTCTCCCTGGGATGATGCTCTCAGAGGGAGGGGCAGGTCATCATCTTTGCTGTTTGGGCAACTCAGCCATTCCTACCTTTGGGATTTGGAGAGTCTGAGCTGACTGGGAGCAGAAAAGACTCCCCAGAAATCACAGCTGCCCTACCAAAATGTGGCCAGACTGCTTCTTTAAGTGGGTTCCCCCAATCCCACTTCTCCTCACTGAGCAGGACCTCCCAACTGAAGCCTCCAGCACCCCTGCCTGTGTTCTCCAGCCAACAGAGAGCTGAATTCTTCCAAGACAGTGCTCCCAGGGGAGTGGCAGTCACCATCTTTGCTATTTGCATGAATTAGCTATTCTAGCCTTCAACCTTCAGAGTGTCTGAGGTAACCAGGGGCTGAAGTGGATCCCCAGCACAGCACAACAGAGCTGTTCTACCAAAATGTGGCAAGACTGCATTTTTAAGTGGGTCCCCAATCTTGCCCCTTCTTACTGGGTAGGACTCCCAACTGGGGGCACCACTTACTTCCTGCAGGTACATTTGGGCCAGCAATAGGCCTGTACCACCCTGGGACAATGCTCCCAGAGGGAGGGGCAGGCTGTCATCTTTGCTGTTTTGCAGCCTTCACTAGGAAAACCTCTAGGTACTGGAAAATCCAAGGGAAGTAGATACTGGAGCACACCCCAAACATATCACAGCAGCCCTATGGAAAATTGGCCATACTATTAAGTAGGTGTCCATTCCCATATATCCTTACCAGACAGGTCTTTCAGGCTTGGGTCTCCAGCCACTGCCTCCCCTCCCCGCCCCACCACCAGAGCTATTGAGCAAGTAACAACTTGGCAACTCCCTGGACAGAGCCTCTAGGGACAACGGAAAGCCTCTCTGCCACTACCTCTGTAGTGGAACTGCCCTTGCTGGACCAATAAGGGAGCAAAGACCCTAAGTGTCTCATCCACACCAACAAGCTGTAGTCAACCCAAGTAGAGGAAGCCAGTATGTTTCCCATAGTTCTCACACACCCCACAGTGCTTGTGACCAGACAGGGAGCCCTTGGCTTGAGCCCACATCACAGGCCCTCCATCCTGGGCTGATTGCACTGAGGGACTGCTGACTTCCATCTCTCTGGGTTGGAGCCCCCAGGAGACAAGAAAATGACCCTCAGCCACAACTACTAATAAAATCCCTTCTGCTGCTCCCTCCAACTTGGGAAAGGAACATAAACACTGAGATTGCCCCAAAGCTTCAGTGGGCAGCCCAGAAGTGCCAAACCACAATCTTCAGCCAGCATTCAAGAGGGAGAGAAACTCACACTTTTAGAACATTGAGAGAGAATATGGCTGCAATTGTGAGGAAACATACGGGAGCCACACAACAGAGCAAGAGTCTACCAATGAAAAGCCTAAGCCACCTGTGGGATCACACCCCAAAGCTTCAACATCAAAAATGCCTCACTAATATACCCATATCTGAAACCAGAGACAATAAGTCAGCTTCAAATAAAGACACTGCAAAAAGCCTTGGCCTGGTGAAAACATCCAAAAAAGAAGTCTGTTGACTATACTTAATTTACACTGCAGATAAAGGAACATCCACACACAGGGATGAGAAATAACCAACGCAAGAGCTCCAGTAACTCAAATGGCCAGAGTATTGTATACCCTCCAAATGACTACACCAGTTCCCCAACAAGAGTTCTTAATCAGGCTATACTGGCTGAAATAACAGAAAAACAATTCAGAATATAGACAGGTACAAAGATCACTGAGACTCAGGAAGATGGCAAAACCCAATCCAAGGAAAATAAGAATCACAATAAAATGAGACAGGAGCTGAAGGATGAAATAGCTGGTATAAAAAAAGAACCTAATGAGTCTGACAGAGCTGAATAACACAATACAATATTTTCACAATGCAATTGTAAGTATTGACAGCAGAAGAAACCTGAATGACTTTGGGGTAAATAATGAAATTAAGACAGAAATCAAGAAGTTCTTTGAAAACAATGAAAACAAAAATACAACATACCAAAATCTCTGAGACACAGCTAAGGCAGTGCTAAGAGAGAGCTTCATAGCACTAAATGCCCACATGAAAAAGTTAGAGAGACCTCATATTAACAACTTACCTTCACAATTGAAAGAATCGGAGATGCAAGAACAAATCAGCCTCAAAATTGGCGGAAGACAAGCAGTAACAAAAATCAGAGCTGAACTGAAGGAAAACAAGACACACAAAAAACAATCAAAAGATCAATGAATCCAGGAGCTGGTGTTTTGAAAAAACTAATAAAATAGGCCACTATCTAGACTAATAAAGAAGAGAGAAAAGCTCAAAATAAACACAATTAGAAAATGACGAGGAAATGTTACTATTTTTCCCACAAAAATAAAAACAACCAAGAGAAACTGCTATGAACACCTCTACACACACAAACTAGAAAACCTAAAATAGATGGATAAATTCCTGGACACATACATCCTCCCAAGACTGAGCCAGGAAGAAACTGATACTTTGAGCAGGCCAATAATGAGCTCTGAAATCGAATCAGTAATAAATAGCTTACCGCCCCCCCGACCCCAAAAAAAGACCAAAGTCCTGAAAAATTCATAACTGAATTCTACCAGATGTATAAATGAGAGCTGGTACCATTCCTACTGAAATTATTCCAAAAAAATGAAGAGGGGCTCCTCCCGAACTCATTCTGTAAGGCCAACATTATCTCAATACCCAAACCTGGAAGGTACACAGCAAAAAGAGGAAATTTCAGGCTAATATCCTTGATGAACATCAATACAAAAATCCCCAATAAAATATTGGCAAACCAAATCCAACAGCAGCACATCAAAAAGCTAATCCACCAAGATTGAGTAGGCTTTAACCCCCAATATGCAAGGTTGGTTCAACATACGCAAATCAATAAATGTGATTCATCACCTAAATAGAACTAAAGACAAAACCATAAGATTATCTCAATAGACACAGAAAAGGCAAAAATAACAGGTGCTGGTGATGTTGCAGAGAAAAGGGGATGCTTATACACTGCTGGTAGAAATATAAATTCGTTCAGACATCAGTCATTGTGGAAAGCAGTATGGCAATTCCTCAAAGAGCTAGAAGAAGAACCACCATTCGAACCAGCAATCCCATTACTGGGTATATACCTAGAGAAATATAAATCATTCTACCATAAAGACACATGCACACATATGTTTAATATCACTAAAATGGCTATACTTCCCACAGCAAAGAAAATGTGATACATATACGCCATGGTACTACACAGCTATAAGAAAGAATGAGGTCATTTCTTTTGCAGCAACATGGATCAAGCTGGAGACCATTATTCCTAAGTGAAATAATGCAGGAACAGAAAACCAAATATCACATGTTGTCACTTGTAAGTAGGAGCTAAACACTGACTACACATGGAAACAAGGAAGGGAACAACAGACTCTGATGTCTACTTAAGAGTGGAGCGTGAGAGGAAGGAGAGGAAAAAGCTAGCTCTCAGGTACTCTGCTCAATGCCTAGGTAATAAAATGATCTATACACCAAATGCCCATGAAATGCAATTTACCTAGTGAAAAACCTGCACATGTACCCTTGAACCTAAAACTTTAAAAAAGGAAATATTGCACTGAGTGTATAGGTCATTTTGGGTAATATGGACATTTTAACAATAAAAATTCTTCTAACCCATGAGCATGAGATATATTTCCATTCATTTGTCTGTTCTTCAATTTCTTTCATCAATGTTTAGTAGTTTTCAGTGTATAGAGGTTTCACTTCCTTGGCTAACTTTACTCCTAAGTATACTATTCTTTTCTGATATAAATGGGACTGTTTTCTTAATTTCTTTTTTTGGATAGTTTATTTTTAGTATATAAAAATGTAACTTATTTTTGTATGTTGATTTTGTATCATACAACTTCACTGAATTTATTAATTCTAACCATTTTTTGGTAGACTATTTAGGGTCTTGTACATGTAAAATAATTTAATCTGCAAATAGAGATCATCGAACTTCTTATGTTCTAACTTGGATACCTTTTATTTATTTTTCTTGAATAATTGCTCTAGCTAGGATATCCAGAATGATGTTGGGTAGAAGTGGTGAGAAGGGACTCCTTATTATGTTCTTGATCTTAAAGAGCTTTCAGCTTTTCACCACTGAATATGATGCTACCTGTGTGCTTGTTATATGTTGAGGTACATTACTTGTTATTATGTTGAGGTACATTACTTCTATACCTTAATTGTTGAGAATTTTTATTATGAAAGGATGTTAAATTTTGTAAAATGCTTTGCTAAGCTTCTTGAATCTATACATTTAGTCTTCCCCCAATCTAAAAACCTTTAGCTATTATTTTGTCAAATGTATTTTCTGTACTAATCTCTCCCTCCTCTCCTTCTAAGACTCCAATAACACAAATTCATATCTTTTGCTCAACATTTTTAATTTTTTTCCTGTTCTGTTCTTCAGATTTGATCATTTCTATTGATTTACTTTGAAATTCATATACGCATCTCTATCAGTTCCATTCTGCTTTAGAGCTTCATCTAGTGAATGTTTTATTACAGACATCATACTTTTAAATTTCCATGGTTTTTCCTGAAGATTTTATTTCTCTACTCAGAATTTCCATTTTTCTATTCATTTCAAGAATTACACCTTACATCATGGAGCAAGGTTATAATGGCCGCTTTGATGTCTTCGCCTGATCATTCCAACATCTGAGTCATCTCACAATGAGGATCTTGGTTCCTTTGAGAATTGGTCACATTTTCCTGGTTCTTTGTAAGTAAAGTAATTTTTGTTTCACTCTAGAATATTTTATTTTTTTAGAAATGGTATCTTGCTGTGTTGCCCAGGCTTGAGTATAGCTGCTATTCCCAGGTGCAATTACAGTGTACTACAGCCTTGAACTCTGGTGTCAAGTGACCCTCCTGCCTCAGCTTCCTGAGTAGCTTGGATTACCGAAGTGTGTCACCATGTCTAGCTATCCTGTATGTTTTTAATTTGGTATTATTTTAAAAACGAATGACAGCATCTTTCCTCAAAATGCAGAGAGACTAGAAGATACAAACATGTAAGCCAGTAGCTACGACACATTGATAAATACCGTATGAAATGAATTGTGTCCCTTCAAAATCCACATGTTGAAGTCCTATCCCAATATATCTGTATTTCAAGATAAGCAGTATAAGGAGTTAATTAAGGTGAAATGAGGTATAAGAGTGGGGCCTTGATCCAGTAGAATTATAAGAAGAGACACCAAAGAGCTCTCATTCTCTGTCTCCACCAAGTGAGAAAACAGAAAGAAGATGACCACCTACAAGCCAGAAAGATAATATGTGCCAGAAAGCAAATTAGTCAACATTTTGATCTTGGACTTCTAATCCTCCAGAACTGAGAAATAAATTTCTGTTACTTAAGCCTCTCAGTCTATAGTATTTTATTATAGTACTCTAAGAATATTTAAAGAGGTTATTATTGGACTTAGTCTACCTTTCCTAACATCCTAAGTTCAGTAAGATTTTTCAACAGTAGCTCTTATAGGCAATAATGTGGAAAAGTGTATCGTACTCTAAAAGATTAAAGATAAATAAAATCTATATTGTATCAGAAAGATCAAATAGAAAAATAAGGGAAGTTTTCTTGAGAAATTTACTGAAAATAAAAATATATACAGCGAAGAACAAAGAATTCAATAATACATAGTAGAGGTAGAAGAAAAGCCAACTGTAGGAAAAGCTTATTAAGAACTGATCAGATAGATGAAAATAGAGAGAAAACAGAGGAAGAATACAGCTGAACTGGACAATGAAATGGTTAATAGTGTCAATGGGTAAAAAACACAAGGAATAGATCTCAACATGCTTAAGTAGAAAAGAACCTTGTATTTACAATAAGACAAGATAAATTAACAGACGAGAAAGAAATAAAGGGCATCCAAACTGAAAAGTCAAATTATCCTTGTTTGCAAATGATATGATCTTGTATTTGGGATAACCTAAAGAATTCACCAAAAAGCTATTAGAACTGATAAGCAAATTCAGTAAAGTTACAGGATACAAAATCAACACACAAAAAGTCTGTAGCTTTTCTATATGCCAACAGTGAACAACCTGAAAAAGAAATCAAGAAAGTACTATTATTTATCATTGCTATAAGTAAAATACCTAGAAATAAACTTTACCTTTACCTTTTCTTTTCACAAAGAAGTGAAAGATCTCTGCAATGAAAACTACAAAACACTGATGCCAGAAATTGAGGAGGACATAAAAATTTGAAAGATATTCCATGTTAGTGAATTGGACTAATATTTTTAAAATGTTCATACTACTCAAAGCAATATACAGATTCAATGCAATCTCTATCAAAATACCAATGACATTTTTCAAAGAAACAGAAAAATCAATCCTAAAATTTATATAGAAACACAAAGACCCAGAATAACCAAAGCTATCCTGAGCAAAAGGAACAAAACTGGAAGAATCACATTTCCTGACTTAAAATTAGATGACAGAGCTATTATAATCAAACTACCATGGTACCGGCATAGAAAGAGATCTATAGACCAATGGAACAGAATAGAGAATGCAGACATAAATCTATAAATCTACAGTAAACTCATTTTCGACAAAGGTTCTGTGAATGTATACTGGGGAAAAATCTCCTCAATAAATGTCGCTGGGAAAACTGGTTACCCATATGCAGAAGAATGAAACTAGACCCCTCTCTCTCACTGTATACAAAAATCATATCAAAAGGGATTAAAGACTTAAATCTAAAACCTGGAAGTACGAAATTATTCAAATAAAACATTGTAGAAACTCTCAGGGACATTGGACTGGGCAAGGATTTCTTGACTGACACCCCATAAGCACAGGGAACCAAAGCCAAAATGGACAAGTGGGATCACAACAAGTTAAAAAGTTTCTGCACTGTAAAGTAATCAACAAAGTGAAGTGATAACCCACAGAATAGGATAAAATATTCACAGACTACTCACCTGACAAGGGATTAATAAGCAGAATACATAAGGAACTCAACTCGTTAGGAAAAAAGCTAATCAGTCAACTTAAAATTGGACAAAAGATCAGAATAGATATTTTTCAAAAGAAGACCTACAGATGGCAAACAGTATATGAAAAGATTCTCAAAATCATTGGTCATCAAATAAATGCAAATCAAAAGTACAATGATATATTATTTCACTCTGGTTAAAATGGTTTTAATCCGAAAGACAAGCAATAATGAATGCTGGTGAGGGTGTGGAAAAAAGGGAACTCTTACATACTGCTGGTGGGAATGTAAATTAGTACAGCCACTATGGAGAAAAGTATAGAGGTTTCTCATAAAACTTAAACTACCATATGATCCAGCTATCCCACAGCTAGATATATACCCAAAAGAAAGGAAATCAGTATACTGAAGAGATATCTGCACTCCAATATTTATTGCAGCACTATTCACAATAGCCAAGACTTGGAAGGAACAGACAAATGAATAAAGAAAATGCGGTAAATATACACAAGGGGGTACTATTTATCCAAAAAAATAATGAGATCCTGTCATTTGCAAAAACATGGATGGAACTGGAAGACGCTATGTTAAGTGAAAAAAGCCAGGCACAAAAAGACAAACTTTGCTCATTTTCACTTATTTGTGAAAACTAAAAATTAAAAACAGTGAAACTTATGGAGATAGAGAGTAAAATAATGATTACCAGAGGCCAGGGAGGGTGGTGAGGGTGGGGGGCAGTTAGTGGGCATGGTTAATGGGTACAAAAATATAGTTAGATAGAATAAATAAGATATAGTATTTAATTACACAACAGAGTGACTACAATCAACGATAATTCATTGCACATTTATAAATAACTAAAAGAGTATAATTGGATTGTTTGTAATGCAAAAAAAAAAAATAATGCTTGAAGTGATGGATACCCTATTTATGCTGATGTGATTATTACACATTGTGTGCCTATATCAAAATATCTCATGTAGCCTAGTATATACTTATAAAGGTTAAAAATTTAAAAAATGAAATCCATCAGAATAAAGTCATTTAAAATATCTATCAATAAATAAAGCCAAAAATATAAATAACATTTGAAAAAAGATAATCAACAATTAAGAATACATCTTCTCAAGATGGAACGCTTATTAAAAGTAACTATAAACTAGGCTTTTAAGTAAGTCTTATAAATTTCAACAAAATCTCCCATACAAACCAAATTCTAACTATAACTCAATTAACACAGAAGTAAGTATGAAAAGGTAAAATCTCCTATTGTCAGAAACATAAAAAATAAACTTCCAAATTACTCATAAGACAAAGAAATGATCAGAAAAAGTAGAAATTACTTAAAAATGAGTATTAATGAAAATATTACATTACTCAAACATAAATAGAGTGAAAACAATAGTTGGATAAAAATATGAAAATTAATCTGCTGAGTCCAACATAAACATAATACAGCCAAAGAAGATATAACAGAGGAAACAATAATGCTATTAATATACATAAATGATCAGCAAATCCATATGTTATTTATTTGAAAGACTCATAAAATTGACAAATCTCTGGCAATATTGGTTAAGAAAGAAAAAAAATTAATGATCATAAAATAAAGAACCAAAAAAGTTTTAGACTTTACATTGCTTTAGGGAGCTTTAATTTTAAAAAACCATTCAGTTGAATTTATCTATTTTAAGTATCACATTAAAGGAAATACTACAATTAACTAGAGATTTAAAAATTAAGAGTAGGCCAGGTGCAGTGGCTCATGCCTGTGATCCCAGCAGTTTTGGAGGCCAAGGTGGATGAATCACGAGGTCAGGACTTCAAGACCAGACTGGCCAACATGGTGAAACCCTGTTTCTACTAAAAAATACAAAAATTAGCTTGGCATTGTGGCTCATGCCCGTAATCCCAGCTACTTGGGAGGCTGAGGTAGAAGAATTGTTTGAAGCAGGACCCGGGAGGTGGAGGTTATAGTGAGCCAATATTGCACCACTGCACTCCAGCCTGGGCTACAGAGTGAGACTCCATCTAAAAANAAAAAAAAAAAAAAAAAAAAAAAAAAAAAAAAAAAAAAAAAAAAAAAAAAAAAAAAAAAAAAAAAAAAAAAAAAAAAAAAAAAAAAAAATTAAGAGTATATGGGATAGAAAACATTGACAACTTTAAAGAAAATACAGAATAGAATAATATCAAAGAAATCAACAACATGAACAGATCTGAATGCATTAAGTGAATTAGTAGCTGAAGTGCATATATACACACACACTTACACTCACCATTTGACACAGAGAGTTTTTACTGGTAACTTCTACCTAATAGATGACGAGTCCAAGCTTATGCAAAATTCTTCCAAAGAATTAAAAAAAGATAAAACGCCTGCAATGCATTTTTTGAGGCTAGGATAACCTTGACAACAAAACCCAAATAAGTACAAAACAGACTAATTTTACTCATAAACACAGAACCCAAACTTCTAAAATGTTATCAAATCTAAACCCTAAATCTGGCAAAGTAGATTAAAACAATATATGAGGCTCAAGTTGTATTTATCCTAAGAATATTTAGGTGATTTAATATTAGAAAAACAACTGATGTAATTCTTCACATTAAAAAAATAAAGGCAACTTCTGGGATAGAACAAAATTAAATAGATGTATTTTCCTCCTGCTAAATACAATAAAAACTCTGGATATTTTATGAAAACAAACACTAAAAGATTCTGAAGGTAGAGATAAAAAGGAAGACTGGTTAGAAACCTCAGAACCCCAAAACT